AAAGCAGCAGCTCTCATTTACAGTCGTCACATTCGGCTCGGTACTTTTCTCCTCTCAGTAGGGTTGTTTACAACGCGTGCGATTTCCGGTTAGCTTCTTAGCTTAGCCTCCTTCACAGTGACATACGTCGACAAAGTGAAGGACAAGGGTCTGATTTTTACCAGGCTAGCTCCCAACCTGCTCTGCAGAACTGCAGAGTTGTGCCACAAACGTACTTTTTAAAACAGGCTTTTTAACGTTTGTATGAGTTTTATGTTGTCTTTTATGCAGTTTTATTGTTGTTTTCTTATCATGTAAATGTGTTTTATGCTTTTAAGTGTTGTTGTTGTTGTGGTGGTGGTGGTGGTGGTGAAGTACCTTGTGGCAGTTTGACTGTGAAAGATGCTATATACAAAGTTACTTACTTACAAAATCAATGCTTTTGAGTTGAGACTGACTGCATCCTCGACAATTGCTTTCAGCGAGCAGGTGGAAGTGGTGGGCGGTGTCGTCCCAATGAATGAATGAATGAATGAATGAATGAATGAATGAATGAATGAGTGACTTGGGGGGGGGGGTTCACTTTACTAAAATTTGGGGAAACAATAACAAAAGTAATCAAAGATATTTGGACAAATACTTAAAAAGGATTACAAAGTGAAAGCTGGAGGCTACTGGAGCTGCCAAGAATTATAGACACTGAATGAAAGAGGTTTTAAACACTTCTGCAACTTGAAAGGGGGAAAAATGGTTGCTCAAACTTTTTTGAATATGTGCCAATTTAAGGGTCAAAACTGAGAAGACCCCAAGTGGCTGTTCACCATTTTTAATCCAGTGAAGCATTACTTTTACAGCTGAAGAATAGGGGTACAACAATACATGTATATTTATCAAAGCGTTCAACACACACTATGTATGGAACAATACAGATTTTTAACATTTATTTTATCAGCTTGTCTTCTGAAGATGCTCTGTGTTGTAGGCTCAGTGGATCTGTGTCCACCTAAGGCCGGCGTCACACTACAAGATAATCATGCCGATTTTTGCCCTTCCAACAATCTTAAGGAAGTCCAGATTATTGTGATGACTCTAAAGATAATCATAGCAGATATTCCCGCCGTGGGTGGTGAGTTAAGAGTGATCTAGTCGGCTCAGAAGGACGTCGGGACCGCTCCGACCTCAAATCGGGGATATTCAACATGTTTGATTTTTTGGCCCGATATCACAGCGTGTGGCATTCGCCCGAGCTCTCAGCCTGTTGAATGAGACATGTAGCCAATCAGAAATCGAGGTGACGTAAACACGAAGGGGATTCCAAAAAAAAAAACGTCATGACTCACCAGAAAGTCTGCTGGATTTTAAAAGTCTTATGGAATTGTTTTTCCTATGGTAAAAATAGTCCAAACGATCAACATTGTTTCTTCCTTGTCGCAAATGTTTATTTACTCTGAACTCATGTCTCTCTGGAGGTTACGTGAGATTTTTCCTCCGACATCTGAATTCTCGCGAGATTTCCGCTGCTGTGTTCAACACTGAACACGCTTCAGTGCGTCCAGGGTGTTGGGCGCATTTTTGCTGCTCAAAATGCATTCGGCGGGAACCCGGTGTACCGGCTTAACTACATCACGGATTTCGCCAACCACGGGTTGTTTTTGGAACGCAACCCCCGCGAAAAACCAAGGATCACTGTACTCCTTTTTAATAATACTCTTGTTGTGTTTCCATCAACTTTTTTATGCAAACTTTGAAGTATCGCATTAGARAAAGGATAGAAATATAGAAGGTCGTAGAAGCTAAGTGCTAACACAAAACGGTCAAGAGTCTGGATTTACCATACTGTACATGTTGGTGACAGAGCAGAAAAAAGGACTGACGATGCAGAAATCATTAAAACTATTAATAATAATATTAACAAGATTATTATTAATATTTCAGTTTATATAATCTAATGTTTTCAATATTGCCAGAAAAGCTGTTTGTGTTACGATTTATTAACAGAAGAGAAGCAAGAAAACGTCCCATTTCACAACACAAGTAAGCAGATTTGATCTTATTCAGCTCAATGTGATCTGAGCAGAACATAACGTAACAGTTTAAAATTAAAATAATCTTATAAAGTTGATGTAATCACTGTTATTTATTGAACTGGTTAGCAGATATTAGCTTGTGGAGCATATACAGCAGGTAAAATAAGTATTGAACACGTCAACATTTTTCTCAGTAAATTTATTACTAGAGGTGCTGATGACATGAAATTTTCACCAGATGTCGATAACAACCCAAGTGATCCATACATACAAAAAAATCAAACCATAAATGTCCAGAAATGAAGTTATTTGTAATAATGTGGAATGGCACAGGGAAAAAGTATTGAACACACTTACTGAAATTTATCTAATACTTTGAACAAAAGCCTTTATTTTCAACAACAGCTTCAAGATGCCTCCTTTATGGAAAAACTAGTGGCTTGCATTGCTCAGGTGTGATTTTTGCCCATTCTACCACACAAACAGTCTTCAAATC